GATTAAAAATCAAACGATCTGGATCTGTTTTTCCAGTGATTTACTAGTAGCATTGCTGTTCATACCAGTTCGTGTCGAAGGAGTTCAATATAAACCGGCGCGAGGCGACGAACTTCAATTTATTCCCTACTCGACCACGGTAGCCATTTTACGTAGATTTGAAGTTTTATATCAATAAAATTAAGAAATAGCGTCCTCTAAAACAGTGGAAGAAATAAAATCTTGAACGTTCGCCATCTACAAATTCTAGTAAAACATTTTTGTGTAGTTTTCTTTGACTTTGTTCCTTGTCCAGCCTAAGCGTGTTTCTATTAGCGTGTTTCTTCTAGCGGATTCAGATTCAGATATTTCATCCTAATAAGTCTAACTTGAAAGACATCAACAACAATTTTCGAAATGGCAAAGAAAAAGCCGAACCAAACAGGATAAACAGAACAACAAAGGAAGGAAAGAAGGAGAGAAAAACGCGCCGACCGCGGTACCGCGTTCGATCGATTGTGTATACAAATTCAGAAACACTGTTATTTCAAACTAGTAATTAGGAATTTATTTAATATAGTACAGTAAGAATCTCAATAAAATTATTTTGCTCACTTATAATTTTCTGTGCGAAGTGTCTTCWTAAAATTGTGCGAACGGTCCGAAATATGGGCAAAACAACTTGTGCGAACGGTCTTTTGTGCGAAATGACCTGTATTCGTAATCAGTCGTCTACATCTCAACTACTGCTTTTTGGCACTACATTCCAGCACGTCAATGTTTATAGCATTTGTCAATTATCGAAAGAATTATGTCTTGATATTTTAAGAACCGCGTTAGTCAGATTTTTTTAAAGATATTTTCTATGAGTTTTGAAAAGTATGAATGGATTTTCGCGTGTTTACGTGATGTGCAGTACGTTGTCTTGGAGAGATTGCCTGCCAAAACTACGATGTACAGCAGCATTAGACGACGTCCAGGAGTAGCGAAGAAAACGAAGGTAATTTGACAAGCGATTGAATTATGGATCGATTGCCGTGTGTTTACGATATGCAGTTCTCTTAGATCGTTTCCCGCCGAGGTTTTGGCCTGTGACTTATACAGTAAAGCATTATTAAAACCGCCGAAACGAAGAAAACGAAGACCACAAAGGTTAATTGTCAAACGATTCAACACTCAGAACTTAAAAATAAACATCGTGGATTTATAAAGACAAACAGAATATCGGACGTAAATACATCGCGTCAAAATACTAATGTAACGTAAACTTGCGACCAAGATATTTGGTTTACTGAATTTTTCCCCTTGTAATTAGGGATTTTGACTCACGATCCCTAATCAAAAGGGGTTATCAGCTATTTCCCCTAGTGGTTAGGGCTCTTGACACCCAGGGATGTCAGAACCCTAATGATTAGGGGAAGCTATTGGTAATCCCTAATGGTAAGGTCAAATAGCTGAATAGGCCTAATAGTTAGGTCAAATATTGAGAGGGCGGATTTAGATTTCGTGGTCGGAATTAATTCGCGTAGTGTTATAAATAGTCTAAAAGCCTAAATTCTTTGTGGCACTAATCATTACCTGTCATCTCGCACCCACCATCTCTCCCCCACCATCTCGCCCCAATGTTATATAACCATTAGTTCACATTTCAGATGTTATTTATGTGATTCTAGCGCGATGTATGTGATTTATTACATATCAGGAACAAGTCTTGAATAATCTTGCTTGTTTATTCAAGCGGCAACCTGTATTTTTGTTGTCGATCGAAGGTTTATACCGTGCAGCTAATACGCAGACTTTTTAATCGAGCTTTAGTTGTGATCGAGAATGTTAGTAAACTAACAAGCTCTCGAATCGGTCTGTTTACGTCGAAAAATGCAACTAACTTCTTTGAATTTTGTTTTAGAAGTCAAGCCTTAACACAGATTGATATACAAACGCCATTACAGTACTGATCACATGAGTCTCTCACATGGTCTCTAAACCATT